TTTCACTCTTACAAGTTCAATGTTCAAATTTTCTTGTTACCATCAGGCCTTATATGCTATAGAAAACATTCCCCTCAAATAAGCAAACTCAAAATCAAAGGTGTTGACATCTGTATTTGATGCAATAATGACAAAAGAAAATTCAAGGGTCTTTTTTTTATATATTCCAGGATGACAACCGAATTTATTTCCACATAACAAGACTGTTTTCTAACAATGAAGGCAAAAAGTGCTCATAGAAGAATGACATTCCCGTTCTAAATACAGATGCAAGCTGCAGACAAAACATCCTCCCACAAAACTATTAATAAATCTGAAAATGCCCAAGACCAGTCAATCCAAAATCAAGAGGTTAAATGCCAAACCCAAAATTGTAAACGTAATAACCATGACCCTTACTATGTGGCAAAAGATGAATCCAATTAATGTTACCTTAAAAAGAACTTAAGTAACTTCTCCTACCCTAATTGCCCATTACAGCCCTTAGAAGCCATCTGTTTAGTGGAGACAATTCAGGGATATCCAGCAAAGCATCTTCTGACCAAGGTACTACTTCACCTCACGTGAACTCTATGACACATGCGTTGATGGATTCCAAAGGCATTAAAAGAGGCCATAATCTGTCAAACATTTACAATTACAAGAGGATCAATAAAAATGGGATTGTTAGATGTATCTTCCAGATTGCTCTATCTTCTGATTTCAAAGTCAAAACAAGGCCAGAGAGGAAGAAAGGACACAGTGACTCAAAAAAATGACATTTTGTTAAATCACGAGGCTGAAAGGAACTTGAAAGGTTATATAATAAATGCCCCCTCCCATCCCTCTATTCCTTCCAGCAAACCACTCAGTCATCAGGCCGATCACGATCAAGGGTAATTTCAACATACCCAACAGTCTCATCTGTCAAGTGGTTTTCTCAGCTAGCCCCTCGTCCCTCAGAAATGCCACATGACACTTCGGAACCCCTAATTAGAACTGTACATCCATGCAGCTGTTTCTGCCCTTGGACATCAAATTAGCAGTTCCTGCCCCTCCATTCTTCCTTGTTCACCACCCTTATCCAAGTGCAGTTCTCACAATGTCCAGCCTAAATATCATGATCAGCCCTGTGGGTTCCTCTCCCAGTAGCCTACTACCTCCCACCACCCTTTCGGCTGACCTACCCTTTAACACCCTGTCCTGATTAAACCCCAAGCTCCCTGTTCCGCTCTCATTCATAGCCTGCAGAGGCCCCATGGAGAAAACTTAAGAACAAGATAAGGCTGTCATCAAGGCATTCTCATCAAGAATGTCATCAAGGCATTCTCATCTTGGCCAAGCCAAAAATAGCAGCCATAGATACTGTCACTTCTCTGCACTCTCTTCCACTTCTCACAGTACCTTTTCCAAGCCTTTAATCCTCTCGAAGAAAGTCCACAGTTTGCATGTCCATCACGAACAAGTCAGGAGACAACAGGCAAGGAGCCCTTCCAAGTGCCACCCCACCCCTCCTTCTATCACCCACAGCTGAACGAGCTGGGCTCTTCTTACAGATCTCTTTTCTAGCTCCTCCCCCATCCCCCTAGACCAGTCTTCACAAGCTTTTTTGAGTCACCGTGTGCTTTCTTCCCCTCTTGGATCCACATTAGAATAGCCAGGTGTCTTCTCTGACCCCTCTTTCAAAGACAAAGTCAACTGGTGTGAAGTAGAGGCCCTGTACACAGTATGTTTCAAATGCTCCTCCCGGTGAGTCTTAAAATAAGCCCAGGTGGGGTATCACTGGCAAAGACAACTTTACCCACTCTGACTTTTTTTTTGAGACAAGGTCTTATTCTGTTGCCCAGACTATAATGCAGTGTCATCATCGTAGCTCATCTCCAACCCCAAGTGAGCATCCTGGGCTCAAGTGATCTTCCTGCCTTAGCCTCCCCAAGTGCTAGGATTAATTACAGGTGTATAACACCAGTCCTGGCCACCACCTCCCCTGGGGTTTAGATAGCAAATCTAAAGCTTGTTTGTGGACTGTCTAAGGTCCCCCTGCACATCCCAGTAGCATTTCAACAGGTACCAAATTCCTCATCCTCCTTATTATGAGCTGAACAAATGAGTCCTCCAGAAACTCCTATGTTGAAGTCCTAACTCCCAGTCCCTTATAATATTGGGGCCACATTTGAGGAGAGAGCCTTTAAAGAGGTAATTAAGTTAAAATGAGGTCACTGGCCTAACCCAATATGACTGGTGTCTTTATAAGAAGGTCAGACACAGGCAGGTTCAGAGGAAAGACCATGTGAAGACCCAAGAAGAAGATGGTCACCTACAAGGCAAAAAGAGAAACCAAGCCCAGCCTCCAAAATTGTGGGAAAGTCACTTTCTGCTGTCACTTCTAATGCCCTCGTTACTCTCTCACTTCTTCATCTTCCTAAACAACATGACCATCATTCCCTGTTACTCCTGCCTCTCCCTCGTCTATCTTAGCTACTCACGTATCATCGCTTCCTCCTAAACATCCTTCTTCGCTCCAGACCCACTGTGACTGCTATAATTCCAGACCCACTGTCACTGCCTAATCATCTCTTTGAAGATAGTCCAGGACCAGATAATCCCACTTAAACATGGAATCTAAAAAAGTTGAACCCAAAGAATTAGAGAATAGAATAATGGCTACCAGAGGCTGGGAGCGGGGGAGGAAATGGAGATCTGTTAATCCAAGGGCACAAACTTCCGGACAGACAGGAGGATTGTTAAGTTTTGAGGCCTTAGTGCACAGCAGGGTGAACAGAAATAATATATGTATGAATATGTAATATATAAACATATATAATACATATATAATATAAATATAATAGATGGGCTATTGCAAAATAAGAGTCAATTTCAAATATAATCACCATATAAATGATAGGTGACGTGATGGGTGCTAATTAGCTTGATTTAAACACGCATTGTATACATATACCAAAATAACATATGGTACCTATAAGTGTATATAATTATGATTTGTCAATCATAGAAAAAGCAAACGATTATCTCAACAGATGTAGATAAAGGATACAAAGTCATACCCCACTGTCTCCCTTATTTCAGTGAAGTCCACGTGCAAAGGATTAATCTGAGACTCTCTCTACCGCCCACCCTACCCTAGCTGGTATCAGCAGAGCCCTTCCTCAATTCCTGACCTACAGTCAAGTGAAAGACACAAATTGCTGTTTTGAGCTATTTAATTCTGGATTTAAAAACAGCAATAGTGAACTGGAATAACAGGTTGTGGACAACTCCCAATAATGTAATTATGGGTAATTTTTTCAATTGGCCTAACCCAAGATGACCAGATTTTTCTGTGATGCTGACTGACCACAGCATTTATCATTTCTGTAAAACAAAAAATAATTTGTTTTTGTTTTGACATTCCTTCTACCTGTCTCTTCCCTATTTTCCTTTTAACTTAACAAATATATATTTGAGAATATTTTTTGTACTTGGGGAAAACATTTAGAAAAAAAAAATAACAACCTTTTTTTAAAATAACTTACAGGAAAAAACAGATATTCCAGTCCCTTTCACCTGCAACTCTTATTCTTGGCTGTCTGGAGAATCTTACTGAAACAGAAATCTAGTATGGCAATGACCCGTCTTAAACCCATCCATGGTTCCCCACTCCTCAAGTCCAGCCTCCTCACATGCAGCATACTGTGCCCTTCAGCGACTTCCCGCTTAGGCTATAACCCACATTACTTAAGCTCTAGCACTTTAGATCTGCTCCAGAATTCTCTAACATATAATGTTTGTGCATATGCACTCAACTCTTCCTGGGAACCCCCCTCTCTTATCAAATACCTACTCCCCCTTCCAGTACCAACCTCTCCATGAAGTCTTTTATGACCCTCGTCCCCACCCAAATTAGTCACTGGCTCTGAAACTCATACATACTGTGACCATACAGTGGCAGCTATAACAAATACCCAGAGGGACCAACAAGGAATCATAAATACACAAAGTGTCTATTGAAAACAGATCTTAAACTCACACTGATAGAACTATGCTAGCACTGGGACCAATCATAATGCCTGTCTATGTCATCTTTTAAAGCCTTGTCCTGAACAAATAAAAAACAAGTGAGGCCAAATTCATGTAGCACATAGACTACCAGTGTTCCAGACTGGCTGAAGGCATAAAATGTCAGAGCCTTCATTGCTCTTCCTTCTACTCCTTAAAGTGAAAACACTCCTGAACATGTCTACGCATCTTCCCTTAGCCTGGATACCTGTGCTCATAGGCTGACCCTTATTCATGCTCAGTTGGGCTGACACTTGCCTGACTACAGAGGATGCAGTGTTGAGATATATAACCTTGAACTCACTGCTACTCAGTACTTCTCAAAAATATTCTTTTGCATGAATAGTCACAGGCAATATCCTAAAAGGTATCTAGTCATCATCCCACAAGGAATATGGAATGTCTATATTGGACAGAGCCAGCAGAGAGATATTGGTCTCAACTGTCTTGCTTTGGCTCTCACAGAATTGCTTTTCTTAGATAAGCTTTGGCATTGTCACTGGCTATATTCAGCAACAGTGTGGGCTCTCTGGATCACACAGCTGATAGTGTACCCTCTTTGGGTCAACTGCTAGGAAAGAGAGCAAAACACGTGGCCCTTTTCTAATACCGAGATAAGAACCCGAGGCAGATCTTTGGTCTTGGTCTCTGCCTCAAGTCAGGCTCTTCTTCCTCTTTCTACATTTCCTTTTTGTGCTTACTGAATTTCACTGTATTCAGTAGGAAAATAAACAATGCCACTAACTTCTAACACGGTATTTATCACACAGAATTTTAATTTAGTCCCCACCCCTAGTTTTTTTCCAAAAAAGTCCTCTCTCTTGTTCATCTTTGTATCTCCAGAGTCTAATAAACGATCATTAATTAGATATCAAATATCACTGTATTACATGTGACCAATTCCAGGAATGGGGGACATGGTAAATTAACTACCTCTTACGAAACTACATCTTACGGAAACTCACTTTATTTCCCCAAAGCACACAAGTGGTCCCTGGGTGTAACAGCAATGCCATCTGGAAAAAAAATCTAAGTTTAGGGAGATTAATATAAGGAATACACATTAAATAAGCACAACTACAAGCACAGTTTAGTTTTTAATTCTTTGCTATCCATTTTTAACCACTTGTTCCATTTTCGAGTGCTTACCCAGTTATTTCACAGAAGCATACTCACTGAGAATATCCCACCACCAGTTAATACAGCAAATGTAGTTACAAACCAAAACTTCTCAGGGCATATTAAAGTCAATGCATGCAAAGGGCACAGGAAGAACAAGGGAAGCTTGTTGGAAAAGGTTCTCGATCAGAATGCAAAAGCATGGATGAGTAGAGAGAGCAGCACCTACCTATGAGGTCCAGTAAATATGACCCAGGACCAAGCATTATCAGTTTCCCATGGCACCATATCATTTTCCAGGTTCTACAGATGGATATTTCACTCAAACTAATTTCTGTCTTCAAATTTTTCTCAAACTCTGCTGTAGCAGTATGAAGTGTTGTGGTAATTGTGTTGGAAATAAATCCATTCATTTCTGTCATTAGCCATAGAAACCATCCCTGCCTTTAAGGCTTTCAAGATAGTAGATTCTGTTACGGGGAATCTACAACAGAACTCACTGGAAATTCAGAAGTGGGCTTGTTTGCACACAACACTGTTCACTGCAACAGCAGCTAAGTGGAATTAAGGTCACCCCTAATTATGATATACTACTAAGAGAAAGACAGGATTCTGACAGTACCCAGTAAACTTTCAACAACTATTAGAAGGGACTTCCCCATAAACCTGACCATGGTGATGTCTGGGTGGGCATTATGGTTACTTTTCTTCTTCTTTACAGCTTTCATTGGTTTCTACAATGAACACATACAGGTGTTACTTTTGTAAGTTAAAAGTTTTTTTAACAACCTTCTTAAATCTTCTTGAAAACCAAATGATATTACTCTCAGATCAGTGATCCCACTCTTAGTCCAAGAAATTACACAGAAAGCTGTTGAGAGCAATGTTTTTTAAAATAGCAAGGAAACAGGAAATAAAACTAAATATCAAAATATAGGATGATGGAGCTGGAACATATTCTTCTTAGTAAAGTATCTCAAGAATGGAAGAAAAAGTATCCAATGTCCTCAGCACTTTCATGAAACCAATTTATAATTACTCACCCTTTCTTTTGAAAGATAGATCACAACTATAGCCCAGGATGAAGAAGGGAAGAGGAAGGGGATGGGAGGGGAGGAGGGAGGTTTGACAGAGGGAGGGTTAATGGTGGGACCACACCTATGGAGCATATTGCAAGGGTACAAGTCAAATCTATCAAGTATAGAACATAAATGTCTTAACACAATAATTAAGTAAATGAGGTGAAAGCTATGTTAATTGGTCTGATGTAAGCATTCCAAATTGTATAAAAAAATCAACACATGGTACCACAAATGCATAAATGTATTCATGATCTTTGTATATATGTCTTAATAAAAAGAAAAAAATAGGACAATGGTTGAATACATAGTTTGACAACTTAAAGGATTATTATCAGGCCATTAAAAATATATTTAAACTATATTGCCATATGCATGTAAAAGCAGGAGTTTAAAAAAAAAAAAAAGTAGGAAAAAACACAATTTGCTACCTGTAGATAGACACAGACCTTCTTAATGGAACAGGCCACAAAACCAGCATGATGAAATGAAAAATATATTCATTAAAGAACAACAGATACAAGTGGGTTTATTTAAATATTGCCATATATGGTTTCAAAGATAATTTAGAAAACACTTAAGAACATGCTAAGCATAAAAAAATACCTTTAAGTGAGTTGAATAGTTTTAAACACTTTAAGACGTGTTACGGAAAATTTTTTACCCACTGAGTTATTCTGCCATTAAAATGGGATAAAGGAAAAAGGAAATTAGTCTGCAGGTAAATGACCCTTTACATTTTCCATTTATCAGAATAAGCCCAAAGCAGGGCACTAGCTTCTGCCATGACAGCTACCGGTCAGAGTCAATACTTTTCTTCCTAGTCAAAATTAATGGGAGGTTTTATTAGTCATTTTAGACTTCTATGTCTAAATACCAAAGATTATATGGCTTAAACAACAGAAATTTATTTTGCCATAGTTCTGGAGGCTGGAAACCAAGATGATGGTTGGTTTGGGGGGGAATCTCTCTTGGCTTGCAGACAGGCGCCTTCTTGCTCTGTGCTCACAAAGCCTTTCCTTGGTGCATATGTGTGGGAGACAAAGATCTCTATCTTCCTCTTGTAAGGCCACAAATGCTACTGGATTAGTACCCCACCCTTATGGCTTCATTTAACCATAATTACCTTCTGAAAGCCCAATCTCCAAACCCAGTCACACGGGGCTTAGGGTTTCAACATAAGAATATTGGGGGACCACAACTGCATCTTTAGCAAATGTTAAATATATTTTACAGTAAATCTCTTACAAAATAATATATTTTGACATGAAACCTGGCCTAATTCCTGCTCCTAGAAAAACAGTAGTATTCAACAATGTTCCTAATCCCTGAATTAGATGAGAATTGGTGACTCACGGCTCTCCACTTTAAGGTAGCCAAATACTATAAAAGATGGCAGGACTTCTTCCCAAATTCATGGTAACAAACCCCTGCTTGAGTGTTGAGAGCCCCTTACAAGCAGAGAACTTTAACTGATACTTCCAAATCTAAAAATTAAATTTCTCCTATACCATTTCTAGAGCTATCTAGTTGCTTTTCTTGGAATTCTAGGCAGGGCATCAGAGCACTATGAGCACTCCCTGTTTTGTTTGACTTGAACCTAACCTAACCCCATGACTCCAACCCCTTTCTAGTACTAGCCTTGGGCAACACCTGTGCTTATTACCTGCCTGAACTTATACCTAGTCTGATCCCAAACTGCCATGCCTATGTGAGCAGCCCCTGCCTTATCCCAAATCAGGAGCCTGGAGTCCTGGATGGTTTCCACACAGTAATCAGCTTAAGGAGAAGATATTCAACAGCAAATAAAGGAATGTAAGTTGATGAATCAGTACCAAAGCACACTAAGTGAAATCCCATTACCTGGACTTCATAAATAAATATTACGAATGAGGAATTAGGTAGAGTTCAGACAAACATAAAAAATGTCATGTCTTTTATCCCTAATTTCAACAAAAATAAGTACTATGGAATATGCATATTATAATAAGTGAACTTAAAAGACTGATTTTTTTTTTTGAGATAGGGTCTCATTATGTTGCCCAGGCTGGCCTCACACTCCTGAGCTCAAGCAATCCTCCTGCCTCAGTTTCCTGAGTAGCTGGGAGTACAAGCATATACCACCAGGCCCAGCCGAAATTGAATATTCTGCATGAGAAAAAAAATAACATTTTAAGGTATTTGAATCAACAGATTTAATATGAGGATAAGAAAAGCTGAGTTTGGGAGAAATAAGGAGATGTTGGTCAAAGGGTACAAACTTTCAGTTATAAAATGAGTAAATTCTGGAAATCTAAGGCATGGCCTGGTGACTATAGTTAATAATATTGTGTTGTACACTTGAGTAGATCTTAAGTGTCCTCACCACAAAAAAAGAAGGTGATGGATATATTAATTTGATTATGGTAATCATTTCACAAAATATATGCATGTAAAATCCTTACACATATAACTTAATAAAATTTGTCAATTATGCCTCAATAAATCTGGGTCATCAAGTACTTTACATTCCCTTCCACATAAAACCCATTCCCTATATTCCTTAGCATAGTCACTAAAACAGAATTTGTCCTTTATGTGATTCCTTAGCTCTCTAAATCTCTTTAAAATAACATCACCCTCATTCAGAGGGTTTTTATAAAATGAGGAATATTATATAAGTCCGATAACCACACATTTTGCCAAAGCAAGCATTCAGCATAGAAACAAAGGATTTTTTCCATCGTCACTGAATCTGAAAGGATAAAAAAAAAATTAAGTTCAAGTGTGGTCAAACTACAAATGATAATGTTCAAGTCTTAAAGACCTGCTCAAGAAAATTCCAATCTTTGCCCATTCTTCCACCTTGTAAGACGCATTAGCAGTGCTGTCCATCACGAAGTTAGTGCCGCCACCTGAACCTAACCTCACCAGACCCAGGAATACCTAGAGTTCTCCCAAGTTTAGCCTGAGCTCATCTGACTAAAGTAGCTCACGGGTGGAGTCAAGTCTTTAAGATTAAAGAGCAAAGTTGAAAATAGAAAGTATACAGCTGCAGGATGAAAGGACTGGGAGAAGGATCTGTGCAAACTGATTCTGAGTCCTCTATTTTAAGACGAGGAAGCCACAGCCTGGAACGCTGGGTGCTGTCAAGGGCCCCATGGGCAGGGGAGGGAGAGGGAATGAACCTTAAAGTCCTACCATGGCAAAAATAAATAAATACATCCTAGCACAGCAATAATTCCTACCATTATTTTAAAAATCAATCAGAAGCTGCAAAATACTAACCTAATCACTGGCCAGCACTTAACTTCAGTGTTCTAATTTCTGAACAAATTATACATAGTAACTATGCATTGGTAATTACGCCATCTCAGAGAATCTTTTTAACCTAAACAAAGCAACTTTTCCTAAATATGCACGCACAGCTTCTAAAACAGAGAAAGCCTTCAATAAATGCTATGATTACTTAACAATGTACTATATCGCTATAATACAAAACTACTTAAACATCTACAGCCATCTCCTCCCACCACCAAAATATGTTCTATTCCTATCTGACTTTGTCAAGTGAAGGCGGGGAGAGTCACAAACAGGAAGGGCCACTAAATATCACAAAAAAATGCCAACTCATCAAAGACCTCCTTCTACCTGTCACTCACTTCCAGCACTCCATTTCTGCTTCTGTTACTCATTTCCTCCATGACTCTGCAATCCACACACACACACACCGGGTATTGCTGCATAGAGTTAACCCATTCTCATTGTGCAGACCTAATCAAATCTTACTTCCTCAGGGAAATCCTCAATCACCCCCCAAAGTC